AAGGTCCCCGAAGGGCTCTGCGTTGCCTCACCACACTGCGGTACCCCCACCTCCACTCCACGGGCCCCCACCCAAATACCTTCAGAGACAAAACCCGCAGCCCTGCAAAGCCCTTCTCGGTCACGAGTGTTGCCCTTCCCCGCCGGCCGAGAGGCACGAGACCGAGTCCGACAGCCAAAACCGGTGGGAAAAAGGGGGAACAAGCGGGCAGGGAGCTGAGCCCCCTCACTCCGCGCCCTGCCTACCTGCTCCGTAAGGAGCCCTGCGCTTTATTTCACCCCCTGGTTAATCGACACAGTGAAATTAAAGCAAGCTGGTTGCTAAAGAGCACAGATGAATTAATTCCACAAACCTCATTAGCGCTGGGTCTGACTCAGTGTCCAAATCCTCTGCTGCAGCCCGAATAACAGGCACCCACACGCCAAGCCAAGAAATTCTTCCGAAGGCAGAGGGGGAACGCGCTGCTTCACTTGATTTCCAGCCTTGGCCTTTTCTTTCTTTTTTTTTTTCCTCCCTCCTCTCTATTTTCTGTCCTTTTTCTCTTTCCGGTTAAACGTCAACTTCCAGTCCGGCAGGGAGGGCAGGCAGCCCGCGATCCCACATACCTCCCCGCTGATTTCTGTACCCTCCAGTCAAATATCGACTTTGTTCTCGCTCCCCTCGCCGTCCCGGAGCTGCCACCTCTCCCTCCCGGGAGGCTGGTGGGGAGAAAAGGTAGGAACCACAATAAATGAGATTGGATCCCAGGTGGAGGACGAGCTTTATCCCAGCTGGGAAGGGAGGAGGGGGTGCCCGTGACTCAGGGGGTGGCATTCCTCATTCCTCCCTCGCACACCTGGACGGGCAGGCGCAGCCGCCCCGGACCCTCCCTCTGCACAAGCACCGTCCCCCAAGAGCAGGGCTGAGCGGGTGGTGGGAAGGTGCCGGCCATGCGGAGGGTGCTTGGAGGGGGCTGTGGGCAACGGGCAGCATCGGCTGCTTGGCTTCGCCCACCTGCTCGGGGCAGAGTCAAGGGCAGTCCCCAGACCCCCTCGCTGGGAGTTTCTCTTCCAAATTTCCCCAGGGCACAAGTGGGGGGTGTTATCCCCCATGCCCAGGTAGCTCCTAGCTGAAATATCACCTAAGCTCCTGCTGCGACAACCACCACCCAGCTGCCGAGCCCAGCCTCAGGACCTTGCTCGCAAAGAGGACGGATCCACATCCCGCTTTATCCAGGGCACGAGCCCGACAGCTCGTTCCTCATCTGCAACAGATCCGGCTCGTGGGTCAATGCCACCCCTTGTAAATGGGACCCACCCACACCTGCTCCTCATGCATCCTACCATGATCCAAGGGTGCCAGGAGCAGCGATACCCCCACTGCGTCCAGCCCTTCTGCTGGGCTGGATCCAAAACCCCTTCCCCAGTCAAAGGAAGAGCAGAGGAGGGGTTTGTGTTCAAGTGAGGTTATTTTTTTTGTCCCGCAGCACCCTTCTGCTTTAGAGTCTGGGGTTTGTCACAGCTCCAACCCGGCCACCTCCGACGGTGCAGAGTGTACACGTACCAGAGTAGATGCGATGGCAGAGGCTGTATTTTAGCTCCCCGATAAATCTTCACAAGAAAAACTGCATCCCCTCAGCTTCAACACAAACAATAGCAACAGCCAGACAAAAAAGCTGCATATTTCCTGCCTGCCTCGGAGATTAAAAATATGAGCAAGGCAATTTTCGCTTCTTCATTATCAATATAGCATCACAGAAGCTGCCGATCGACTCCCTGAAGATCGCGACCGAGCGTCAATTCAAATGAAAGTGAGGACCAGGATTCCTTTCTACTACAGGGAATAGGAAGCTCAAGTAAATATGTGTAAACTGATTAAGCCCCAGGAAAAAGGAGGATGTGCTTGTGCCGTTAAAAACTGCAGCAAATGGGAAACAGGCAGGGGCGCAGCCGAAGATGGCCCAGGCAGTTTAAGTCTGGTATTTCCTAGTTTCCGAACACTTGACTTGGCAACCTCAATATTATCCTGGTCTTTTTGGAGATGTGATTTCCTACACTTAAACAAAAATTCTAAAAATCAAGGGGTTTTTGTTGTTGGGTTGTTTAAAACCACAACAGACATTTACTGCAACATGAGAGCTGGGACCTGAGGCTCTGATGCTGGAGCTACAAGTGGCGGCTGCTGGCAAAGAGCCGATCGTTACCATTGCGGGGCCGAAGGCAGAGGGTCCCGCTCCACCTTGGGGAGCTGCAGAGGCAGCAGATGTTGTAGGATGTTGCAGACGGAGGAAAGCCAGGCTTCAGTTCCTGAGACTGGAGGGGAGCATGTGCCGGTGCTTGCAGACGTGTCTGCTCACCTCCCCAGTCCTCCCTCTGGCCCCTTCCACCAGTAGCACCCAGCTCCCACCAGCCCCAGCCTACCTCCCACCGCCACAGCTCTCCTCTGTTACCATCGCGGCAAGCAATGCTGCCAGCCACGGGAGTTAAAAAAGCCAATTTAGGCTACAAGCAAGAGATATATTACCAAAAAAAAAAAAAAA